TAGCCTCATGATGGTTGGAATACATCGTGATAGATGAAGCAACCTCGACCATGACAGCGTGGTTGACAGATTTAATGCAAAATTTCCAAAATATAGAATTTCACTTTCAGGAATGAGGATTTGAAAATAAATTAGATGGTTACATTGCATACTCTTTGTTTCTTGCTTTATTCAAAATGTTTTGGTTTTGGAAGCTGATTCAACATTAGAAAGCATAGCCTATATGAAGTCATATTATAGTAACTCGATGCCTATCAAATAAGTAAAAAAAATCGCCATAATTCATCAAATACCCCTGGACCCCCACCGGGGGCCCTAGGCGGCCCCCAGCCAAGTGAGACTCGATTCGCTCCACTAGCTCCCCCGTCGGGGCCTTTAGCCCCTCCGTCAGGTCCTGGCGTCACCACTGTGAACAACAAAGACAACTGAAGACAATAGTTCGTCATTAGAAGTTATTTAGTATAACTTTATTCGGAAAATTAATCTCAAAATGGAGTTGCCGTCCCCGGCGTTATCAGTGACGTCGTATGATTTGCATGCGATTTTTACCAATTAACCCTAAAGCAGAACATAGTCGAGCCATGTAGTACCTTGCAAATCATCCCAGAAACCTGGTAGTTTGTTGATTGTTTATTGGTAGCGTCCCTCCGCTGCCAAAAATGGTTTTTTTGGCAGTTGCGTCGACCTCGGTGACATCGTGAGGGCATGGTGAAGGCTGGTTACGATTTGGTGGTACATCGATTCGAGTATTTTCATTCATCTTGCCATGAAAGTCAGTGGCGTATCTAGATGTCTTGAAATGGGGGAGATGATGGGGGTGGGGCACGAAGGTGAAAGGGGCGTGGGGGGCTTCGGCTCGATGATCAGTTGAGGGCGCTAATTCGCAAAATAAGGTGATGAAAATGTTTAACATCGTCAACATCACCATTGTTACACAATGTGCATAACCATGTGGTTTCAGCTGACCATTTACTTGTTTTTCTATCCAACTGCAATGTGTTTGATCGCAATTTGAATTTCAAACTAGCCCCTTTAAAATCTGACATATCAAAAAGATACCATTCCAAGCATGGAGTACTTTTGAACTTGGCATAATCAATCAATGAAGATTTACTATCTATCCTATTGTTTAAAGAAGCGTTTCCTATACGTAGACTACACCTTTTACTTAACAATGGGCTCAGAGCTTCAAAGGAGCTTTCTTTGTTTTTGTAGGTACTGTAGCTTTGATCAGTGGAGTAAGAATGCTTTGATCTTTTGTTTAAATCACTGTGTCACCCACTAGAGGTAATGTTTTGATTGGTTAAACAATTTTGGTACTAGTACATATAAGCTTGCTAATATAGATTTTTCATTCCTGATGATGACATAATTAATGTCGAAATATTGAATCCCAACACGATGGCGTGCATTTCAATACTTGGAGTATGTATATTTTCTAATGTATTGACTATTATAAAATATTTTACTGCACCACAGATTACGGCCTATTTTATATTAAATTCATTTCGGCGGCGTCTTATTATTTCCAAATGCTAATATAACTTAATGAAATATATAAAGTAAGCTATTCATTTTTATCTTCAAGTAATTTTTGTAGATTTAAAGTGCTATTTATCTGTGATGCGGCGTGTCGCACAGGTCATAGAAAAAATAATAGCACGGATTAGCTCCACCTCTCAATATCAGTAAAGTATACCAATTAGATTGTGTGAGTGTATTCATGTGGAACGCCATCCAAGAAGATTAACTAGCGTAGGAAGCTAACCACAACACCGTATCGCATCAATCAGTCGTGCTTGGAATGCTTCTATCGGCAAAGCAACCATTGGTGAATCGGTGAATATAAGGCTTAGAAGCGCCATGATATAGTCCACTCAATTTCCAGTTATCCCGTTCGGATCTGATACTTTTCATTAGAATACCAGGGAGAGGCGTGACAATGATTGTCCTCAACAAATTTGTATGCTATGTAACCGTCTTGGTTTTAACTGTCATTCAAAAAATACCACCAGGTAAGAGAAGCAAAATAGGTCTATGTTTACTTGTGTGGGCCTATTTTTACTTTTAACCTATTCTATTCGTTATATACTACTAGTACTTCTAATTCTACAGTAGATTGTGTAGATTTTATTCACTGTATTTCTGTTTTTATGTTGTAATTTCCACTATTTATCGCCGACAATCTATCGATATTATCAGAATGAAGTTGGTATACCCCTCTATAGCCCTAACACCACCTATCAATATCAATCATTATGATTACCAATATGACAATGTCTGCATAGACCTATTAAAATTACGGTATTTTCGTTATATTTTTAATAATTCCGATCATAATAAAGTTTTTAAAATCTTATAAATCTATATTGTATTTATTAATACATGGTGTTTAAAAAAAATCTTCTAATAGGCATAGGCTAGTCCTATAAAGATTTTTTTTTCTTTTTTAATGATTTCAAAATGTAATTCCTTTTGATGTTCAGAACGGGAAGTGATTTATTGTATAAATTATAGCATGTTTCGAAACTTTCTACCAAGAGGTCAATAAGTTATGAATTATAATTAAAGATCATATTCGTGCCAAGGTTGAAGGTGGGATCAATTTGTTTTTATAACTCCTTGGTGCGAGTCAGATGTTTTGATTCCATCGTGACCGTCATTACAGTACTTTGTTGGTCACTGATACATTTAGGAAGGCTCTACTAATATACAATAGTCATATAGTGTACCAGTACCATAAAATACAAACAATTATATTATACTGTGGTAATATGGTTGGCATAATCTGGACCTACATAAATTATCTTGGTATGGTCTCGTCAGTATGCAGCTTTTAGATATTATATATAACTAATGGTTACTGTACACAAAAGAACCTTCATAAATTATTGTTTCTTTTCTTACACAATAATTTTTTTCCAGGCGATGTGATAATCAATTTAAGAATGTCTGTAAGACTGATGAAACCATTGAATGTTTTCCTTATGTTGCTAGTGCTTTAGGCCTAGGGCCTACTCATTTGATTTACCAATTACAATATTTTGCTTGGTTGGTTGTTTTGATTGATTGATTTATTTATTTATTTCACGATCGGTTGCTTTTAGTGGTAGGTTATAGTAGTTATTGTTTGAACGACCAAAACTATGCCAAAAAGTGTTCTATGCTGTACTGTTTGGTGGAGATTTGTGCCACAATAGTACCTGCCCATACTATCGCTCCATGATTAGGCCTACACGTATCTTTAAAAACTTATTGAAAATTGTGACTATCTAATACTGTACTTCCTTTGTGTTAGTCTGCTTTAAACCAAGTAAAAATATCGTTAAATAACTTTTACTATTATAATAAAGACAACCGATTCAAGAGGAGTATATGGAGCTGGCCACAGATAGAAAGGGGTGGAATCAGAAGTTTGAGGGTGTAAACACACAGTACTGTCTAAAGACGACTATTAAGGGAGCTGATGATGATGTAGCCTATTTTACTGTAACTAAACATGTTCTGAGCTTTATTATTTTGTCGATTTTTTTTTACTTTAACTATGTAAAGTGCATAAAGCAAAATATAATTGCCTATTTAAAATACAATATTATTTTATTATTATTTGTATAAATATTATTATTGTTGTTATTGTTATTACATTATTATTAACCAAATATCGACAAGGTATGGTTGCATAATGCAATGAACATCTTCTCTGCATGGTTCGCTATCTGTAGTTACTTTACAATACACATAATAATAACCCTAATCTATTATTCATTCCTGCATCCAATTCAAACTTGCTATCGTTTGTTGAGTTTCGTTTGATCAGGGAGTAAGTGACATTGAAATAGGTCCATGATTGAATATTATAAACGTGTTACAAATACTTTCCCACGATTAAATCTTGAATAGCAGATACTAAATGGTCGTCAAGCTGATGAATGACTATTTTGTTCGTGCCGCGCGCTCCGTAAAAAATTGTATAGGCCTAATTGTAAACATATATTATTCTGTAAATTTAAATTATCTACTGTACAAGTCGGTATACAATGGCGATGTTCTATTGCTGTTTTCTTAAGAATAAATAAACCAAATAAAATTATTTGTTAAAAGTTGACAGTGTTTAACACTACTGATTCTGTTGATCACTGTCACTGATTGTATTACTAATCATGGAGGTATACTTATTTAGATAATTGGTAATGAAGAATGAAGATGTACTGAGAAATTATGAACTTAAATGTTTAATAATATTGGCATCATCCCGTGTGTGTATTTTACTTTTTATGGTGCACCATTCTTTTCTTACGGCATAGACGGTTAGTAGAGACAGCATTTCATTCTAAATAGCCTATAGCCTGTACTGAATCACCATTGTTTATGCCTATTATTACCTGTGTTGTGTATAAAAATAGAATAAGGGTACAATGTACTGTCGGTTTTTTTAGGTGAAAGCCGTCATTTGACTTGAGCCATTTGTAGGTAGACATGAAAAGAAACTATTGGCGCATTTGACAGTGTCTGTCTCGAAATAATGTCCTGAAACCAAATCCAATGTAGCCTTGGCTAAATATTAATTGTAGATTTATTCAAAACAAATGCGAATCCTCGAATTCATGGTTAATAAGAACCTTGGTTTTATAGTTAATAATTGACATTGTCGCGTGATTCCTGTCACTCAGAATCAGTCATGAAATCAAGTTTCCAGATGCGTAGGCCTAATGATGATGCGTGATACGCGTGGCATCGTATGTTTACTACTTCAGCAGAACGTCAGTAGCGCAATTGTTTTGATTTTTCCTGCTAGGTGTAATATTGGTTAATTTTTTTGATAATATGATAATGGTAGCTATTGTTTTAATTATAATTACAGTAATCCTTTTAAGTTTAACCACGATAATATCCTATTACTTCTAATATCAAAATAAAAATCTTTATTCAGCAATTAAAAACCATATAGAATACAAAATACAACAAACAACATGACATATGCAGAAAACAATAAACACCATAAAAATTCAAAAATATAGGCTCTACACTAAACCCTGAGAAGTGTCCTCCATTGAGTGAAGCCCTTAAACAGTAGGCCTACTGATAAACAGTTTTAACTAAACCTAATTAATACAATTATTTAATCATTTAATACTTATAAATAAAGCATTGGAATATGATAGTTTTCAGACGGCAATAATTCAATGTGTTTTGTTGTTTATTTTGTGTAACATTGACTGTACCGTGACTTGCTTTAAGGTTATGTTATCAATAAGCAAGTTAATTGTTCGACAACGACAGGTACCCGAACAATCAATCCACAAGGTTGTAACGTGCTTAAGGCTTATCCCTATACTCGATTTATTTGTCATAATACTCTCGAAAACTTACAATAGACGTAAGCCCCTGGTCGCCGTTTGTAAAAATAATGCTTTCAGTTTTTTTATGAATTTAAATTCTTTAATTTATTATCTTTATTATTATTATTATTATTAGCAGATTATTTTAATTTTTCCCCAAACACTTAACGTTAGCGCTGTTTCATGGCACTCGGATTATTGTCATTCAGACACTTCTTTACGATACTTTACGAATCGCCCTGCTGGTTCATGGAGGCCCTCTGGTCCCAGAATCATGCCCCACATGCTTACCACTGATGCACAGGAATTGCACTTATTCCATAATTAATTCACTCATTTCATGATGGAATCAATTCCCAGTCATAAATCGATTCAGGATAATATGGAGGGCCCACCGTAAAGAAAGATTACGTACCTACGGTAACAGTTCTGGATCACGTATATCATGGCTATAAATACTATAGCACATTTCCCAAATTATGGAACTGATTACCGTAATACCATAGCAAAGTTTCTATCACGGTGGGCCACTGGTTCCAGAATTTGCATCTTATGATGCTATGTAAACATTTGTGGCATTTTTAGTGTTTCAATAAAATATTAAAAAAAATTGAAAATATTAATAAAATTACCAGATCGTGGCAATGGTGCAAAAAAAAAATTATAGGTTTATAGCATGACGCTAAACCCCATTATTATCCAATTGCCAAATGACTTCTTTAGGTACCGTACCCATTGGGCCATACAAGAATAAATCTCCGATCATACCAAATCCGGTTTTCTCCGTAAGCTTGTGGAAAAATAATCGTATGAAGACAAATTTAACTTCTGTTTTTATTGTGGCGGGATTTTTATTTATGGTTTTTATTTTCTTCTTTCGACAGTGGCTCCCCAGGCGATCTCTGTAATAACCGAAACATTAAAAACAGTGAACCTTGGTGGGACAGTTGAACTGACGTGTACATACGACACAACCACAAGGCGAGAAGATATCCGTATTTACTGGCTGAAAGTCAAAGCACAAGGAGATGAACTTATTCTTGAAATACCTGATGAGTCTACGTCAGTGGTTCATGATCCATATAAAGGTCGATTTAAACGACAAGGGGACAATAATTTAGAAATCAATGATGTCGTTTTGGCTGATGCTGGGTTATATAAGTGCAATGTAACCACCAAAGGGGTGATTATACAATCAAGTTCGTCTGCAGTTGAATTGGTAGTCAACGGTACGTGTATACCATGGCAAATGATTAATTTTAATAATAAAATATAATAATAAAAATAATAAAATATGTAGGTTTTTATATAGCGCTCTATAACTAAGTCTCTGAGCGCTTTCCCACATTATTACCCCAGTCATGGGGAAATTCCATAGTTTGCTGCATTAAATATATCGGCGCATTTTGCACTCGAACCTCCTTAGGTACCCACTTATACTCCTGGGTGAAGAGAAGTATGTAGGTATAACAGATAAAGTGCCTTGCTCAAGGACACAAGTGAAATGCAAAGCAAGGGATTGAAACCCTTACTTCGAGGTTGGGAAACCAAACCGTTCATTCTTGCTTTGATTTATGAATTTCTCCTTAGCGACACTAATTATTGTTTGTAAACATGCAATTAAGTCATCGCAACCATTTTGAATTTTCATAAAGAAATATTGAGCTTCTCATAGGCATGGCACAGGAAAGTTTCAAAATATGTATTACAGTATATTTATTGAAATTATTGATTCATGTTTTCAAATAATTATGGTTATGGTTGCCATATTATCATGGGTTACTGTAGTTGTCTGAAGCGCGCGGAGCTGCACGAAACATCACTCAACGTTAATAGTGAGTTCCAGTTTTGATTTAAACACTATCTATTAACGTACATTCGATTGGGGATTCATGGGCCATCCGTCATCAAAGAAAAAAAGGCCATATCCTTCGCAAAACCATGCGCAAAACCCTGTAATCACCAAAGATGCCAATCGAACATGAATAAACGATGCAAAGGAGGTTTATCCGCCACTAAACAAGGTCGCAGAGTAATCTTGCCACGATAAAAACAAGTTGTTTTTCAAATTTAATTTATTTGAAATCTATTCTAAAATGTCTTTGTGAACTATCAACTACCTCAGTGTTGACCAGCATTTCTCATATCTATACTGTAATGAACATACACACAGGTAATTTGTTTTGTGACCAGGGGCGGCGCTAGTGGGGGTCCAGCAAGGTCGTACTTACAAAGCTGTCGAATTTTGTGGTTAAAACCTGTTTAGTGCAGGCAGCGCTACCGTATGTGCGGGGTGTTCTATATTGCGATTGTATGGGTTGCAGTGGGGATAGTATCTCACAGGGGGTCAGTACCTCCGACATCCTTTTAAAATGAAGAATCCCATAATTAACACAAATATTATTATCGTATAATAAAAAGAATTCCCGACTTTCCAAATTCAATTTTGTTCCGGGCGGTGGGGGGGGGGACCGTGGACCCCTCGTCAGAGAATGCCTGTTGCCGCCCCTGTTTGCGACAGGTGGTGTTCCCGTGGCCCCAGTCTCATTTTTATTAAGGGGCCAGGAATGAAAGTGGGTGGGCCCGCTATAGTTTTAGATGTGGAGTTCAAGATCAAAAGATAGTGTGTCTGTTGATAAAGGATAGGTTTACGAAATTAAGTCAAAAGGGGCGAAATTGGATTAGATTTTTTAACTTGCAAATTTGGAGTTTATTGGTCTCCTGGATCAGAGGATGTGCATCTAGCCAAGAAGGGGCATGTGCGCCCTCTGAACCATGCCGCTCATTTGGGTGTAATTGCTAGAGTTTTATGTCATCAAATGTAGCTGGTCATCACTCTATTATGCATACAATGAACTTTTCCGGAGTATCAATCAAAATAAAAAAACTGACCCAAGCAGAATGCTAAGGATACGCGCTTGTCTCTCAGACGCAAGTGTGTACATACCTTTACGCTGTTTTTTGTGGGGTAACAATATCAAGTGAGCGGTGCTTAGATGAAAGGTACATTCCTACCGCCACTATCTGACAATAACATACTGTATTAAGTGCCTTATCTTAGTTTGTATACATTCAGTACAATGTGTTAAAAGACGAGATTTGTCTCGTTAAGCTGTGATTAAGCTGTGATTGATAGACTTCACAGGCGTTAGGCTTCTGTTGTACGCAATTAATTGCATGTGGATACATATTATACATTGCTTTCGTGCCGTTCCCATATTTCCCCCAGGTCCCCTTCTCCAGGTCGTTTTTAGTCATGGTAACAAATAGCACGTAAGCTGCTATTATTGTTTACGTTTTTGTACATTATGACTAAAAGTGTGATGATGCAAGAGATATAATTATTATTTGTGTATGCAAAAGCAACCGTAAATTAGATGTTAGTTTGCTATGCTCTGAGATGAATTTTAATCAGTTCACATGAAAGTTGCTATCTAACAAGCCTTGATGTTCTTAATGCAGAATTTAAAAAGTGCATTTCTTTTTTTAACAAAAATCCAGATATCAGATATTTTTTAGCACTCTCATGTATATTTCTAACTTTTTTATAGCACTATGATACAACATATTATATTTGTAAAGATTACTGTACTTTCATTTTTAACACTGCATTGGGAATAAACATTTCTATTTATAAACGGTTGTGTTTTTATTTTTACTTCCTTATGTGAACGTCATTAGAGCCACTCAATATTGCATGTAGTCATGGATGGATGGATGGATGAATGAAGGAATGAATAAATGGACATGTATTTATTTTTACTTCCTTATCTGAACGTTATGCATCGTTATTAGTGCTTCTGAATATTGCATGCTACCATAGATAGATGGATGAATAGATTAATAAAAGAATGAATGAAGAATGTGTGAATGGAACTGTTGCAAGTTTTTTTAATTCACTTTTGGAAAATACAGTACTGTAATACAATTTGACAACAAATACTGTACACATCATTTATCAATCAACATTTCAGTTGATTTTATTTTAATTACAAAAATATATTACATAAAACACCTTATCAGTGGCATAGTTTAAAGTAGTTCTGGCAGTCAAGTGGTCAAAAAAGCCTGTACCGATGCATACCGATATCAACCAAGGATCTCGCCATTACTGGGTCTTAGTGCAGCCACATAAAGTATAACACTTCATGTACCTAATCACTGTTTGCTAACATACATTATATTAGACTGGGTTCCAGTCCCTAATTTTGTCTTAATCAGTGAAACTATTAAAATTATAGCTATTTTGGCACCAATAGCATTCCATACTATACCTTTTCTGGGATTTTCTAATTCGCATTTAAATTCAACACAAGTTTCTCAACATAAACCAACAATGGTGGTGCTCTCCCAAATTAGCTAATACTATGAAAAATCAATAAATTAGAAATTTGTAAGTCTAACATTATACCATCTCATATACAGTACTTAGTTTCTGTTTGCTAGCATATAGGACTTATAAATGGAGCCCTATTGCCCACCCCCACCAATTCAATGCCTTCTAGAGATCAATAGGATTGAGACCAAACTCTAGAAGTCTTTGTTTATTTTCTGCGTGTATAACTGTTGCTTCATTCTTCCATCGGTTTTTAGCAAGGTCCAGCTTGGCAACCATATTGTCAAGAGCATCCTGTATAAAACAAAAACCAGTTGTAAACATAACATAGGATATATAACTTGGAAAATAATGATTTGGGAATAAACACCATCTGGAAAGTACTGTAATGAAACACTGAATATTCTTGTCCTTTTTGTTATACTGTATATCATGAGGCTTTAGCAAAACATATCAAGTGACATACATTTTTATGTTGGATATAACACATGTAACACGCCCTCATATGCTAATTCCATTTCATTTTAGTGACTAATATTATTATTAATCTTATGTCAGATATAATACTTACATGTAGCACGCCCTCATATGCTAATTCCATTCCATCAATCTTGGTTTCCAGTTCAGATATCTTCTGATTTTTCTCTTCTGTTATTTTTTCTTTCTCTGCTTTAGTTTCTTTCAACTCTACCTGTGTCCGCTCTATATTGTGTTAGCAATGACAAAAAGACACTCAGTAAAGCTTTAAACTACATTTTAAAACTACTTAAATTATGTTTAAATTTAAATAGTGATTATGTTTGCTGCTGTGGCTGAGACCCTGTAATGGCAAGATCCTTGGTCGATATCAGTACGCCACAGGCTTTTCTGACCACTTGATTGTCAGTGTACTACTTTGAACTTTGCCATTAATAAGCTAGTGTTCTCCCAATTGAAAAATTTTTACTGGAAAGTTTAATGTGCGGGGAACCGTGGAGATCTTTAGGACCCCGGTTTAACTCCCATCACTGCCTCTCCTTGTGTTTCAGCTGAGGCTGAAATACAAGTTACAATAGCGCATCGTCTTTTGGATGAGACACTTAAGCCGTTGGTCCCGTGTGCATTTATGGCCCATGTACACGTTAAAGAATGCACTACACTCTTTGCAAAAGAATAAGGGATTGTCTCCCGGGTACTGCCCAATCCCAACCAGAAGGACTCCACTGGAAATAAGTCTTCTTCTAGACTTTCGTGTTTACACCAAATAAATCCAATCCAATCCTTGGCCTTCGGATTTCAAAACGATCTTAGTGCAATAGTAAGGTTTAAAGAAAGTGGACCTTTTGAAAGTAGGAGGGGGTGGTGCGTCCACACCCTCTGCACCACCCTACATACGGACATGGTTTGTGTCTGCACCCTCTGCATCACCCTGCCTATGGGCCTGGTTTGTCTCATAATAAACAAGTCTATGATAAAGTTTTTTTAAGCTGGTATGTCTTGTTTAACAATCTTGGACGTTTTCCAATTGGTAGAAATGTATTTTATTCTACATCTGAGTGGGGTCACCCCTACTTCAAAATGGCCCACGGAGTGTTGCATTTCGGTCTTCACTTTATTGTAAAAGATATTTATTAAATGATTATTATTTTTAGTAATTTTAAATATATTTTTCTATAAATTTATTTTCTCTCGCGGGCCAGAATAAATTGTTCCGCGTGCCATAGTTGGCCTGCAGGGCGCCTATTAGAAACCAGGGTAATACAGCATAATGTACTATCACAGATCCTATAATTTACTACAGCATACACTTACTGTACCTAATTGAACTTTGACCTTTCCAAGTTCAGCCTCCAACTGGTGTATTCTCATTGACATTTCAGTCTGCATGGTCTTGTACTGCCTCGTCATGTCTATAAGTATAACATACAAAGTTATAATAGTTATTATTGTAATGCTTATGATATTATGTTTTTTATGTTTAGGTGGATAAACTAGTATAGGTGTGCTTTCAACTGATTTCCTCCATCTTGGTTACTATTGTTTGGAGCTGAATAAATAAACAATTGTATTTCTTAAGGGCCCTGCATCAGTGCTTACTTTAATGTTCCTTTTCACATTTTCGTTAATGTACAGTATACTGTTATATTTAATGTCATATTATGTATTGCATGGGGTATAAAACTGCATTGAATTGGACAGAAAACATTCATGTGACTGTACCTGATGTGACGTCCCTCTGGTCTACCTTCTGCTGCACAAGAGCCTCCTCTGCTGAGTGCATTCTGCCCTTCCATTCTTCACTGTGAACTTGTGACCTTCGGGCTAATTCTTTCCTGTTTGCAAGATGGTCCTTCAGAGCTTCAATCTCATGGATAGTTTTTTTGTATTTATCTTCAATAGTTAATTCCGCATCTAAAATGAAAGTTAAAAAAATGCCAAGAAAATTACTTTCCTCAATAACAAATTATTAATAATAGGTTTTGTTAAGTTTCTGCTTTAAAAAGTACTTTTTATAGCACAACACCGTAATAATATATCTTTCCCCTGATGTTCTGTCGATGGAAAGGCACAGAAAACATTCCCTTTAATTTAATCCAAGGTGGTGAAAGTAATTATCTTCTCTTCAAAAGAATTCCTATTCCTGTATTTTAACACATTTCAATTCAAATAATAATAATTCAAATTTTCTTCTATACCAGTCATATGTATGCAATTTATTTAAATTTAATCACAGAGTACCCGATCGGCAGTGGAGGTCCCGATTTGTGAGAAGAGGAGCATGCGCACATACTCTTGGAAGCGCCACTTCCATTCCAGTGTTAAATTAGCTATTCTGACGCCACCACACGGTTGTCACAATAGCAAATTTAAGTGTTGTAGTGTATGCTCTGACTCCCATTGACTCACTGAATATGTGATTGGCTGAGATGTTGAAAACCAGCCATGCGGAAACTCTAAGCAGTGTACTATGATGCGAAAGGCCTGAGTGTGACTTATCCTAGATACCAAAGTAGGCCAAACATTGAAAAACCTTGGTATTCCAATGAACTGTAGCAATCAACATGAAAAATTAAGGTTTATATAGAAGATTCTGACTAAGAAATGCTAAATAAAACGGAGAAACTGTACTACTATTATATATATATATATATTTTTTTTTTTTCGTTTCAGCCAGGGTATGCATTGCTTGTTTTGATGGTTTGCCACTGTTTATTCAGTTACTGTGTATATTATTATTATAGCCTAGTTATGATATGTTCTGGATACTTATGTTATTGTTAATGTTAGGCCTGGTTAGGCTAGGCTGCTGCTGACTGAGCTATCTTGCTTTGTTTGGCTAGCAGAACCAGCTAAGCTAGTCAAGTAGCACGTTGTGGGCCACCCTAGATTAGTAGATAGTAGGCTAGCCTACCTTACATACCTAGGCCTACTAGCCTAGTAGTAGGCTAGCCTAGGATCCTAGAGTAGCCTAGGCTACATGTGATGAATACAGAATAGGCCTCCAGGACTAGCCTAGGCTAGAGTATAGTATAGGCCTAGTACAATTATAGTACTAGGCCTAGGCTAGGCCTAGTAGTAGTAGTAGCCTACTAGTAGGGGGCCTAGCCTAGTAGTAGTACTGTAACTAGTCTAGCTAGTTAGGGGCCTCGGTAATAATAGTCGAATACTATAGTGAACAACATTTAGTATTACCATCTTTCTTTTTCTTTCCTTTTTTCTTGCCCTTTCCCTTCTGTTTAGGAGGCATTTTGATTAGGGATTCCGCAGCTATGCGCACTGCCCCCCTCAGTTCTGTCTCTGTGTCGTGAACAATGGTGCTATGCGCTGCGCGTCTGGTAACTAAGAACACCGCCCTCTTCGTCCTTCCTTGTCGCGAGGGCCACCCCGGCGGCCACACCCTCTAATGTTGTCATATCTATAAATAGAATAGTGCCTTTTTTGGCCAGATGATTTCCTAGTGAAATTCATTGCTTCATTTCGTCAGAACAAAATACGCGGTTTCCATTGGTTGTTACCTGACGTTTGTACTTACGTCACAAATCATTCATTTACGACATCGTGAGTCATATAGAATACGGAGCTGTCATTGGTTCGTTTCATTTGGTATGACGCGGTGACGTATGGCTATTAATACTGATGATAATGATATAAGTATCAGGTGCGAACATTTTTTGTTGATTGTTGTGGAACATTCTAGGAAAGACTCAGTGTACTTCACAGAATTGTAGTATTTCATAGCACAATATTGCCCTCTTGAAATTGAAAGGAATCTTAACATTTGTGGCGTCGTGAATAGATTATATTGGGCTTGGACAGTACGTGAAAAACAAAAAAATGAAGAACGAAATAGCGGCAGCAGTAGTGTTTATAACACGCATGATAAAATCAAAGGGAAACCTCACTAAAGAACAATTAAACACGTTTTCAGACAAGTTAACTGTAGCATTAGCGAAAAAGTATCGTAATCATTGGTACGAGGAATCGCCATCACGAGGTCAAGCTTATAGATGCTTACGAGTCAGCCCCAACGTACCACAAGAACCTATGTTGAAAACAGTAGCTAAAAATGCTAATCTCGAATACACGCAGCTTTGTTTGCCTGAAGAAATGGTGTTATGGGTTGACCCAGGAGAAGTAGCATGCAGGTACGTGCTCAAAAACAAGATACAGTAATGCTAATGTATTATAAATAGTAGTAGTAATTGCTATGTTGTTTTCCTGTTGCCTTGGCAGTAAAAGTATCGTTAATCCAAGGAGGTACCTGTATTATCAAACATTTCTTTTGTTCATTTGTTTGATCGATGATGGACAATAAAAAAGTATTCTTTATTCTGAACATAATTTTTACTACTGTATTTTTATTTATAGGTTTGGAGACAGGGGATCAACATTTTTAGTGTCGTCATCCAAAAAAGATGTTACATCGAATATCAATACAAATGAGTCGCAAAATGGAATACAGAAACGAGTTGCAGGAGGATATGTGTATACCAAATACAGCAAGCAACCTGTAAATAACTCACACCAAGCAAAAGACCAGCACCAAGCACACAACCAATACCGGTACCAAGACCAATACAAAGCATACAACCAAAACCGGTATCAACAAGACCAGTACCAAGCGCAAGACCAGTATCATTGGCACAACGTGTACAACACACAAATAGCAGTAGCATAGTCCCTAGGTGTACGTCTTGACCAAATTTGATTGCCAAAGTTTTAAATACTGTATTTTGTAAATTTTAAATTGTGTACATTACAGTTCATATATTCCAGAATATTTTTTGAACTATAAAATTATTCACCACCTTTTGAATATATAATCTCCTTTACTGGTGTCCTTTTTTTTTAATAGTGGAAGATTTGTCTAATATTTGTAACTTATAAAATTAATATTAAAGTTTTTACATTTGAATTTTGAAGATCATTTTTTTTTTAAATTTTATATGGATTTATTTTATCTTAATGGCTGAGTAGAGGCAGGGCACCATTATTGTAGATAACTCCTGAAGTGCACTTCTAAAAATTTCCAATATTGTGACCAGTACTTGCTTAGTTATCAGCAGCTTATCTTTATATACTTTTATTGTTGACTTGTTGCAATGTGTTGCCATTCAGCCGGGTCTGAAGGCTTTTTTTTACAATACAGTATTATAAATGTTGCTGATATGTTTTGTCAATGTTTAATAATTTGTTTTATAGCAAAACCTACAAAATGTAAAAAAAATAAAGATAATTATAAAACATATACAATACGTTCCTTTGTTTCTATTATTTTTCATAGATTAGAATTTAGAATCATAAAGCAAATTTCGTTCAGTACAGTCCTGTGAAGGCATAAAACGTGATTTGAATTGACTGGAAACACTGATATTTTATATCAAAAGTATTCTACATTTTCACTTCAAAAATTGAATATTATACAGTCATCAATAATAAATTTAGCCTCTTTTCAAACTGTCATATCCAATACATATACAACAAACACACCATCTCTATTGGAAGTTTATTGTTAGCCAAGTGCCAAAAGATAAATTAACATAAACAAAAATATACAATTTAATCTACAAAGTTTTCATAATGCACAGAAGCCTCTTCAGGGAGGCTAAATAAAGGGAGTGCTAGCCGGAGAAAGGGATTTACAGTATAACATTTGAGCCCAGCCCAGCCAGCCAACCTAGCTAAAGTGCAATAATTATTTGCTCAACAAATTTCCATTGGGGAATGCACGCGGACTCCTTTAGAATGGCGACATTTCCATATCGAATAATTGTTGTATTAATTGTACTTTTGGTTTTCTTTAAGTTGTACAATTAACTAAATGTATGTTAATTTCAATTTGTTAATTTTTTGCTTCTTCACAGACGTGAAGAACAACTCTAGTTGAAACAAGTTTTCCTGTGTTAAAATATAGCTAATTATTATTATTACCTGCAGTGTATTATTATTATACACCATGGATCATGGAAGAGGACAACTTAAATAAGATCTGCAACTGCATCAGCAGAAACAATACAACTACTGTTACAATCGCACACTCCTCAAGATTATAGATCTTTGTCAATTTTTCTATACATCAGTCACATAAACTTGGTGGGCAACATTAAATGTAAAATAAATACAGCTCTGCAACCACAGTTCTATACATATATCTGCTTGACCTTGTTATTTCAGGATAAATGAAATGTACACAGGTTCAGTTGAAGCAACCACTTGCTCTCACATCATATCCCATAGTAAGTAATTCCCTTCACCTACAAGACATTGATAGAACATTGGCCATCAATACTTGATATACCTGTATATCCAATTGGACATCAGATTCAAAATTCATGATAGAAATTTCAGTCAAGTAATAAAATAATATTGCCAATACAGTACTGTAACATCATTTATATCATGCTTCACAGCTTTAATCAGGACACAGTACAGTTCTATATATTTCTTAAAAAGATTACAGTAGTTACAAAAACAAGATTACCTTTTGAAGGCATAACACGCATAACAAAGAATATAAAAAATGCTAAAAACTAACAAATTACCTGGACATACTGCTAAGTAGTTCAGCGTGAGTTGATGTTTTTATTGTCATGATGCGTTTACTTAAACATTCATTATGTTCCTTCAGGTAACGAATCATATCACCTTGCTTCTCTAATAGGTTGTCATGGTAATCCCCATCTCTGGCAAAAATAAAAATTAAACATAAGTTTTGATACTGATTCTGTAACATTATATGTTTACCACACTGGTCCACATTAAAATCAAACATCTAAATTTAACGACTTCATTATGACTTTGTAAGGGCACATAAAATGACATATTGAAAAAAGTATTGAACATAAAGGAGAAAGAACAATATATGATGATACAGTTTTAAACACACAATTGTAGTCGTCTACAGTACACTGTATTATTACCTAAAGCCAACCTCATGTCGATGCATATGGGCTTGGGTTAATAAGGTCATAACCTCCTCTTGTTCTACATCTGGTGCAGGCTTAGCCCTGTTGAACGCCCTCACCATACCTTACAAGAAATCAATAATTTCATATTTTATATTAATATTCAACTCCCTTTGCCATGCATTTAATGTCCAGGAAATAATTCTTTTAATTTTTTATATAATGTTGAATTTTTGTTATGTTAAGGTTTAAATAAGTTTATTGTTCGGTTCAACAAGAAATTTTGGAGTTTAAGACTTACTGATGTATTTGATAGTGCAACAGACAGCAATCAGCCATTCCAATGTAAGTATCAATTCCAAGAACATTACAGGCTCAAGAACCTCTTTCTTTTTATATAATTCTAGATCAGTAGCCAGCATAGCCAGTAGAAGTGACAATGCATTACCTACAACATTCATCATTGTAGAAAATGTAATCAAGATTTGTTTGAGTGTTGAGGCATTGTCTCCATGGTACTGCTACAAATAATTACACTATGTTTCCATTGCAATGCTACAAATAATTACACTATGTTCCAAACATCAGTACTATTAGTACAAGTGGTTTGGTGCAGTGGCAACGGTTTGGTTTCCCCACCTTGAGGTCGGGGTTTCAATCCCCTCAATGTGCATTTCACTTGTGTCCTTTGGCAAGGCACTTTATCTGCATTGCTTCTTTCCACCCAGGAGTATAAATGGGTACCTGGTAGGGTTAAATGCCAAAATGCGCTGATGTAGCTGCTGCAACCTTATGGAATACTCCCCCAGGGAGCTTGAGTTTGTGTTCCATAGGCATTTAATCCAATGACCGGGGTTAGTAATGTGAAGCGCTTAGAGGCATTAAGCTCTATATAAATCTAACGTATTATAATTACTAAATATAATTCAATGTACAGTTGGGTTGGGCATAAAATGTGTCGGGGGGGGGGGGCCCCATTGGGAATTTTTTTTTTAACACAGAGGGCCACACCTAAAATTTGATGTTTCCAGTGCACTTCCAGAAACCTTCATTCACTGGTTTTATGCCACTTTATTCTGAGTTTTACTATTACCTAGGCCTAGCACTGTCAATGCCTCAAATATTGGCCACTGTCATTGGCAGTTCTTGCAAATTCAATGCCTCAATGATGACCATTGCCAGAGGCAGCCCTAGTGCTGTCAATGGCTCAATGATGGGCACTGTCAGTGACAGGTCTTGCACTATCAACTCCTCAATGATGACCATTGCCAGCGGCAGCCCTAGTGCTGTCAATGGCTAAATGATGGGCACTGTCAGTGACAGGTCTTGCACTATCAACTCCTCAATGATGACCATTGCCAGCAGCAGCCATAGTGCTATCAATGCCTCAATGATGACCATTGTCAATAAAAGCCTTGCAATGTAATTGCCTTAATAATGACATACTAACCTACACATAATGTGTGGAATGGTATCTTATGTATTGTTTTGATAGTTGAATAGAATTCAACATATCCATTTTTCTTCATCACTTCATGTTGATGTTGAGAGTAGTAAGTAATTACACCAACAATTAACCAGAGCAAGAGGTGGCTGTATACCAAGATAGAGAAGCTCTTCTTATCATCTAGGTTCAATCTCTTTTCTAATCCATATGGAACAAGAAATAGCAACATTTCATAGCACATCTGAAATAAAAAGTAACATACCAGTAATGAATGAAATGAATACATACTCCAAATATTCAAATGCAGGTCATCGAGTTGGGATTCAATATTTCAACAATAATTATGTCATCATCAGGATTAATAATAATAATAATTATAATTATAATAATAATAATAATAATTCTTTTATGTTTTATTTTATTTATCATTTTTCACATTGAGTAGTCATACCAATGCTTATCACGATAAACATTTATCATAGTCAGAGCACTGCAACATCATGTTACCTTTACCATGGAATTAGCTTACCAGTAAGAAGACTTGACAATAGGAAACAGGAACTGTCTTTACTTTGTGAAACTTGGGCTCTTCATCCCCAGACCAGTTGTGGGCCAACAAAAGATCATCATCATCCTGAGATTGGTTCAACTGGTCATTTTGTTGGTCAAAGAAGTAGGCCTATCAGCAGGAGTAAAAAATATCAGAACTCAGTGGTGGATCCAGGGTGGTAAAAGGGGTTAGTAGATTTAAATTTATATATACACATAAATATGCAAAAACAGACAATGAGAGAATATCAAATATAATCATAAACTATGTGCATCAACAAAAAACAAAAAGAAACAAACCTTGAGTGAAGCCTGGTCAACAAATGCACACTGCTTTTACTCTCAGAATGTTGTATTCAGATGAAATTAGGAGTTTTCAGCAAAAAAATCTTTACCAGCCCTTCAATAAAGTGAAGGCAAAAACACAACATTGGGCCAATGTGAAGTAGGGGTGATGCACCCCACCCAGATCTAGAATTAAATCCAATGCCAACCACTCGACAAATGCCAAAAGATAGGTCTTAGTTCAGCTAAATATGATATTTGCAGCAGATTAAAAATAAAAACTTTATCACAAACTTGTTTTTATTATTTGTAGACCCGAGAATTTATTAGCGAAAAGTTTTTAGGCTTTAAATCCCTGGTATTTGGTGGATATAGTATGACTGATAAGAATAAAAAATTACTGGATGTTTGTTACAATTATGCATGTAACAAGTTTAGTTTAAAAGTACTCATACAGGATTTGTCCTACTAGGGAGTTGTTGTAACATTGCAACATTAACAAGTTGCTTGAAACATCAAATCTAAAAATAATTTGGTCCTTTAAATAAATTAAGAACCAGGGACCTATAGTATTAACCAAGTGTAGAATTTTTTAGATAGGATATGGCTAATGATAAGGGTCCTAAACACCATCCACACAGAACAACACGGGACCTCACAGGACCACACAGATGCAAAAGGGATTTCCACACAAGAGTATCAAACTGCTTAATAATCAATAAAACCAAACTTTTATAACAAGAATTGTCCAAATTCTGTTCAAAATTGATGTAGGGCCAGATTTGCACAAGGAATATCCTAGAAATCCGTCCACGCATTTTGGAAAATAAGGGCTAATTTCCGCACACATTTTGCTGAAAATGAGGTTTTGAACAAATCTAGGCATTATAACAATTATGCAGCAATTACAAATCCGCGCACCTATTTTCCTAGCAATTTAGATATGCTCCGCTCAATTAAAAAACTTTACAGTATAAAATGATGGGGCCTTAAAATTTAAGAAAAGCCTATTTAGGGGCCTATGTTTTTTATCATTCGTGAGTGATAAAAATGCTACACCTTTGCTAGGCTGCGTGGTGCTGCTAGGACAGTTGGAGCTGCCGTGTTATACAGCCGTGTACCTTTCTCTATCTATGCTAGTACTTCAACTAGGCCTAGGCCTACAGTACAACTACGATTCAAGACCTAGGTCTAGCCAGGGAGTTGTTATAAAATAACAAGTCCCTGGTCTAGATTTACTATGCTGCAGAAGGCCAAAGAAGGAAGGACAAGGCTCTCGATCAATGAGGGGACAACAAAGGAATTACAGACGATCGGGCACACGAGACTTTTCAAAAGTCCGATGTGCCCGATCGTCTGTCACCCCAACAAAGATGAGGTCCACTTTCGCTAGCTATGCCCAGCCTAGCCCTAGGAATCGGCATCTTCATTGACATTAATTAATTTATTTTTTTCTTTAGTCCTACTTACCCCTTGCCTTGTACTATCATTGCTTAGGCTAACCATAATCAGCGGAAACACTTTTAAGCAGTATTCAAAGGTCCTCTTTTGAAAATCATCAATATAAATAGCTGAGCTAAAACAATCTTTCCTCCTTACTGAAAAGATATGCCACACAGCTGATTCGATCAATTCGATCTGGTCCCGCGACAAAATCATAGAGGGCGGAATAGTACTAACAAAATAATAATGGTACAATCATCATTTTTATTGTTGAAGCAGAGTGGCGCAGCGGAAGCGTGCTGGGCCCATAACCCAGAGGTCCGAGGATCGAAACCTCGCTCTGCTAAATTTTTTTTTCTTACAATTTGTTTATTGATTAATAGATTAATAATTGTCAATATTGTTATTGCTATTACATTTTTTTTTATTGCTTATTTTATTTATTTGGCATAGTGATTGCAGCCCTGGAGTCGCGCAAGAAACGGGCTTATTTTTATTAGGCCTATGTCTGAAATTGCAAATTTTTAATGGTTCTTTACTGTAAATTTGATGTATATTTTTCTATTGTTATATTTATATATTTTTCTACATTTTTTCCCATTTTGTAATACAAGCATATTTAGCTCTCAGCTATTGCTTTGTATATTTATTTTATACCGTAATAACTAAGATAAAATAGATAAATTTGTTTTACAGCAAGGTAGTAACTGAGGCTATTCTAACCGTAAGAGATTTCAGCACAGTATATTGGTAAAACCAAGGAGTTAAAGTATTCCTCAATGGTAAAACTAAAACCCCGGAATTATCGACTGATACATTAGAATGCACATAGAAATATAGACCCAAGTCATTACAGGTAACCCCGATATTTTTGCATTTAATTTTTTAATTCTACAATTAATTGAATAACAATATTATGAAAGTCTTACAGAATAGGGCCTATAACAAAATTACATTAGATTATGAGACGGCCTGGTAAAATTATTACACACACACACACACACACACACACACACACACACACACACAGCTTCTGTATTGCAGTATCTTTCTTTGTAGTAATTAATTGTTTTTGCATCTTTTTATGAGTTTTAGTTTAAAAATTGTTTTTATTCAATGTTGAAGCATCGGGAAACTAAATTTCATGTCAATGTCACGTTGACAAATAAAATATTGTAATGGATTGTATTTTTGGCTACTTAGCGCACCATCTACTTGTAAAAATGGAAAATTCATTTAAAAAAAACATTTTATTTTTACTATGCCCCCTCTGCTCTTCTAAAATCCAAAAATAAGATAGGGCTATACCGTAAAGCCTCGAACTTTTATTTTCACTTTCATTTTTTATTATTTATTTTATTATTTAGTTTAGTTATTTTTTGTTTTATAGTATTCCCAAAATTTACAGCATTAATTTTGAAAAGCGGCCCCTTATTACTTTGTAAAGTAGACTCTAAAGAAGCCCATCTCGAAAAGAAGCCATCCAAAGTTCGCAAAAAACAAAAAACAAAACAAAAAAATATAAATTTAAAGCATTTATCAATCTCAATACTACACTGTCTAATTCATTAATAAAATTTCATTTTTATTCTTTCCTCCGCCTAGATGGTTTTGCCAAAATCATTTTGCTAAATGTGAAAACAAGGCTTTTTTCCGCTTTCCGCTTTGATCACGAAAAAAACATAAATTTCGCGAAACAAAGTTACGGTTGGATGGTAATGAAATCGTTGATTAGCGCCCTCTACGATGTATTTTTTTCAGCAATCACGCATCTGGCTGTAAGCATTTTTATGCACGTGGGTGCTGTTAGAAGATTTAGTGTTTCAGAAACTCAGAAATATGGGTAGACCTGGTAAGTAATCACATTTTGTTTCTATGAAAAATTATCATATTAAAATTTACAAGTGTATATGTTTTACTATCTTAATTGTCAGTAAATGAAAGAGCTTGTGTTTTATCCCATCCGCCAGACAGAAGTACTCATCTTATCTCTACACTCAGTAGGTAGGCTCGCTCATGAACTGGCTAGCTAGGCCTATGAAATATCGAAGTCCTTCCTGAAAAATTTGGCCTATTCAATTCATGCTCTGCTGGGCCTAAACCTAGCCCTAACTAGATACAGTAGGTTTTGGCCCATAAGTGCTCTAGACCATCTAGTAGGGCGTTGGCCATACACTTTAATAAGTAAAGTAAGCCTAGGCTAGATAGGCACCACATGATAAATACAAAAAAATAGCACAAAAAACTACTCATTCTCAGTAGTATCAAAAAACTTTATTTGAGGAAAATTGAACCACTGGATGGTTTTATAAACATTTGAAGTTTCTGAGTGAGTGTATAGCAAGTTGCATGTTAACAATAATATTTCTTTCACTTTTTTCCAATTATTTCTGTTAATTTTTGTAAATGCTAAAATAAAAAATAGTGTACATTTTGATTGTAAATTTTTACTGCAAATTACATTGGTCATGTATGATGTAGCTTTAAACACTACAACCTGAAAATTCATAAATTTTTCAAATGACATTTGATCCACAATTCTGAAATTGAAATTCTGAAAAAAAAAAAATGAAAATAAATAAATAAATAAATTGTATGCCGCCAATTCAGGAATGTTATCGGAGACAAGGAAAGAATGTCAAATGCTGAAAATAGACGACTGGCTTGATCTCTGTACATGGAAACTGTATGAACATGTGCGATGGTTCAGGAATGTGGTTGTTTCCTGAGCTGTTCGCCTGTACAGACCCTATAATTTAGGGTCTGTGGCCATGGTTTATACGACGTGTTGTTTTCTTGTGTATTAATTTAATAAGCTTAACTCAGACATTGATTATGATCATTAACCTCTGTTGTGTGTTATAACAGTATTATTGCTTGTTAAACCAGGTTGAACTTTTAATCAGTTGGTGAATTGGCATTAGGTGATTCATCAATTGGCAGACACTGCGCACACTTGTTATGCACGAATAGGCATGTTTTGCCCTATCCAATACAAGCGTAACCACGGAAACATGTATTTCTATTATCTTCTCTTTGAAGGGCATTTACAGTTAAAGTTCTTGATTTTAGGGCGATGTATTTAGTTTTTTTTGTTTTTTTTTATGCAATACACAGAATCATTGAAAAAATACAGGCCGGTCGGCAGCCTGTCAGCGTAGGTCAGAAATTTTGAGTGCTGGATGGGGCATCAATAATGTGATTTTTTGTGGTGTTAAATATACTTTCTGCTTCAAATCAATCAATCAATCATTTAAGAACATATAGGCCTAGACATAATATACAAAGAAATATAGCATCAAATACTGTAAGCTTTAATAATATTACGAAAAATATAATAAAAATCCACTGATTTGGCAGTATATTAATATTATCAACATTCTTCTTCTTCAATATATGCGTCGACACTTTAATATGAAAATAATAAATTCCTTTGCTTTGATTATCAACATATAAATTCGTTTGTTTCAAATAGATAAACAAAATATATTTTAAATCTTAAAACATTATTATTAACTTACCAAGTTACACAAACCTAATAAAATCCACTGTTCGTTTGTTTCAAATAGATAAAACGAAATATATGAATCTTAAAACATTTATTAACTCACACAAACCTAATAAAATCCACTGTTTTGTTCGCAAACTCATCGCAGTATTAATGCCATTAAATTGCTTAAAACCACAATAATTAATTTGCAGCATAAAGTCCTGATAATACAACACGATTATTAACATATGATTGCATAATAATGTACATTCATTTGTTTCAAATAGATAAAACGAAATATCCTACACCGGCTAGGCCTAGCCTAAGTTGGTTAATATGCTCTGACTGAGCGGAGGAAATTCATGCATTTTATGTGGAGAGTGAGAGAGGCGTTTTTTTTTTTTTTTTTGTTGAAAATGTTTAGGCCGACAATAGGCTCATACAATAATATAATAATACTACTTACTAAGCCTGGCTAGGCTTAACACCCCTAGCCCATACTGTAAATTTTTTTTTAATTGCGCGGGGATATCTCAAAAAATATAGGAATCGTAATTGCTGCATAATTGCACTGGTTATATACTGTAGATTTTATCAAAGCCAAAATTTTCGCAAAGTTTGCCTTGAAAACGGCCCTTATTTTCCCAAATGTGCGGACAGATTTTTAGGCCAAATTTTTGCGCGGAGGATATACTGTATTCCCCGTGCAGGCCTTACTATACTGTGGCTCCTGGCCTTACATAGGCCTAGCTGTCTAAGATACACCCTATGATCTTTGTTTACATAACTTCAAAATGAAAACTAAGTATTTTTCAGGTTAAATAAGCACACAGTGCAAGTTGTAACAACAGTAGGCCTATATTGGTCATTGAGAATGATCATTGTGTTAGAGTGTAAGCAATCGTATTCACAATCTAATTTAAACTTTCTATTGACTTTTACAGGTTTTGGATTTTCACCTCGTGGTCGTGGTGGTGACAGAGGTGGACGTGGTGGTAGAGGAGGACGAGGTGGAGGTTATGGTGGTAGAGGAGGGGGACGAGGAGGTGGGCGTGGTGGTAAGTTAGTGAAGTATAGATTTCCTATGTTGTGTCATGAAGTAATAATATGTATATGTAAAAGAATTTTAAATTATTGTTGTTTATTTTATAGGTTTCAGTCCCGGTGGAAGAGGACGCGGAGGACGTGGAAGAGGTTTCTGATTTCATTTTATAATTTTTTTTCTTTTAAATGCTCTCCATTCAACAAACAATTTTTGTCTCTTACCATACATAAACACTACAAAATATTATAATAATATTTAGCAAATTCTGTATTATTATTGGCTTCAAAAAGTGTAGTAATAAAATTAAGTTTATTTAATTTCTCTTTGTCATATTTTTCAAATGGTTGGGTACAGTTTTTTTTTTTTACTTTGTCAACAGCAATGTGGTTTTCTCTGATATCCACATAGACTAGCCCAAATAATGTCAACAGCAATGTGGTTGCCCAAATAATCTGGCTGGTTTTTAAAGGTCCATATTTTAATGGTTACTTCGGTTCAAGTGCAGTATTTGTTATTATTGTCCTATCCTCCTTTGGCGAGTTGATTGGCCGAGCGGTTAAGTCAGGGGCACCGTGACCTTCAGCTCTAATATCGGCGTTGGTTCGAACGGCTCACTCGCCAATGGTTCCGGTGGTGGAACAAGTCTTCTCGGATAAGGACTTTAAACCGTAGGCCCAGTGTACGCATTTCGTGTGCACTTTAAAGAACCCGGTACATCATTCGAGAAGAGTAGGGGGTTACCCGGTGTACTGGTCCATAAAGTCCCCTGTTGTTAAATGGATATGCCACGTAGGACAGTGATTAAGTTCACTTATTGGCATATCCTTGGCCCTCGTGCCTAAAGAAATGAAATGAAATGAAAATGAAATGAAATGGCTAATAATATCCAAATAACTGAAACAGATATAGTAAGAGTATTTTCTTATAGTATGGTGCTGCCGAGAATCTAATTGATAAGTTTCCCAAATGATTTTCAAGAAACTGTAATCATCACTTGCTTAGTTAAATATACCATGTTTCTGATTGTTTTTCTTTTTTTTTTTAAGGTCGTGGTGGCCGAGGTGGTTTTGGTGCTGGCAAATCTGTGTCTATTGAACCTCATAGGATAGAAGGTAAAGGGCATTATGTCAATTGAACCATATATGATTTAAGAAGCAATTTGAAAAAAAAGTATTTGTTTGAATACTGTAGTAGGCCTGTTAACATACTTCCAATTTAATTTGAATATTTCAGAACAAACAACAGTTTCATTGTAAATGTGGTTAAAATGTTTTGCATTTCACCACTTTTTCTTATATTTTGTAGGAGTATTTATTGCTCGAGGTAAGGAGGATGCCTTAGTTACACGTAACATGGTAACAGGCGAGTCTGTCTACGGTGAAAAAAGAATTGCAGTGGAGGTGAGAAATATGATGTGTATGAAGAAGTAGGATTTAATAATTACTTTCAATTGAAAGCTTGTTTAACTTGGATGCAACTTATTTGTGAATATGTTATAGCGGCTGTGTTACCACAGGCTAACAGAGAATTCAATGCTTTTTGTCCTTTTTTAAGCAACCTGGTGAAGAGGGAAAGATTGAATACAGAGCATGGAATCCATTCAGATCAAAGTTGGCAGCAGCAATCCTGGGCGGTATTGATAAGATTCACATGAAACCAGGAAGCAAGGTGCTGTACCTCGGGGCTGCATCTGGTACAACAGTTTCACATGTGTCTGATATTGTTGGGCCTGTAAGTACTTTGTTGGAAATTTGTCGTTGAATTTAACAAAACTAGAATTAGTAATTAGCAACATATTTTTCTCTAATAACAAAAATACACATCTCTACTCTCTAAGTATTGTAATGATGCTTAGTTCCAGAGATTCATGTTCCAGCGAGCCCTTATTTAGGAACTCGGTTCTGGAGAATCCAGAGCAGTGTCACTGGTTCCTTCTGCTGTCTTTCTCTTGGTCTCTACGGTTGTTTCCCTTTGTAAGTTTTAGGATATTTCTTGGCTTTTTATTTTTATTTTTTTAAGACTGCATTTCAAGCGCATAGAGATTGTCTATAATATGTGCTTTGTCATTACCATTACCACAGCCATTGTCATTACCATTTTTAGTTTATAAAGTATCACTGCTGAATATATACTGACCTAGAGGATTAGCTTAGCTCAGTCGGAGATAGCAGCTTAGCTCAGTCGGTTAATCTGGTGGTAGCTACTATGTGTGCTCTGAACTGAGGAGATTTCTAGATCCTCGGTTCAATTTCCATCGCTGCCTCTCCTTGTGTTTCAGCTGGATGGCTGAAATACAAGTGTTTCAGCTGGATGGCTGAAATACAAGTTACAATGGCACACCAGATGAGATGTTTAAGCTGTTGGTCCCGTGTGAATTCATGGCCCATGTGGACAATAAAGAACGCAGTACACTCTTTGGAAAATAGTAGGGGATTGTCTCCCAGTGTACTGCCCAATCACCACCAGAAGGACCCCCCCACATTCTTAAACAGAAAAATTTGACAAAAACCATTGCAAATTTAATGATGTTTCTTTTCAATTTATTTTAGGATGGTCTTGTATATGCTGTAGAATTCTCTCACAGATCAGGTCGAGATTTAATAAATGTTGCAAAGAAACGCACAAATGTCATTCCAATCATTGAAGATGCCCGCCATCCACATAAGTACCGCATGCTTGTTGGTAGGAAAAACATTTTTTTTCCTTAAAATTCTATACAAAATGCAATAATGTATACAGTTAAATTTGCCTAAGTCAACCTTGCCCGACTCGAATAATTTTTAAGTTGATCCTATTTTACATGCTAAATTGTGTTTTCCATTAATTAATGATCTGCAAGTCAAATTTTAAAAAGTTAAACGATATTTGAATGCCATTTTGGATTCGACTTAAGCAAGTTCAACTGTATTATTAATTTGAAACCATCTCAAATGACGATGGACCATCCGGTTCTTTTGATTATTTTAGAACCTCAACTATTATACAAAACATTTAATCTACAGAAAATATCTAAAAATTATCTCTTTCAATGAGAGATATAAAAGTGGCAGTAAAATACCTTGTTAAAGCACACCTCAATATTTGATAATTACGGTGTATGTAGAAGCTGTATGAACTGCTACAACAAACTTCCATCATGTAAATAATATAATTTGTTCATTGTAAATGATATTACAATAAGATGTTGAATATAATGTAATTTCTTGTGTTTCCTGTTTAGGAATGGTTGATACTGTGTTTGCTGATGTTGCACAGCCAGACCAAGCTAGAATTGTTGCCATTAATTCTCACCATTTCTTAAAAAATGAAGGCAATTTTGTCATCTCTATCAAGGTTATTTTATAATTATTCTTGGTACATTTTCTCAAACACACTTTTCATGTCATTTTATTTGTTTGTCTGAAAACACTAAAATTTACAATAAAAGAAACAGCAAGGAACAAGCACAAAAAAATATGAGACAGGACACCCCAAAAGTGAACATAATCACTGTCAAATGGGGCCCTTCACAAATATCGAATGCTTACAATATAAAAATTTGTTTAAAGAACTCCTGAATATAATCCTAAATTTAGCTGTTATAATATTTACTGATACTGTTTAAGAGGATCGGTATATCGGTGATTTATTTTACCCTTAATGTACTGAATGGATTCTACAGTGCAGTTTGGCCATTTAATGTTACAGTTTACCTTATGTTTAGGCAAATTGCATCGACTCAACAGCGCAGCCAGAGGCAGTTTTTGCTGAGGAAGTGAAAAAACTTCAAGCAGAAAGACTAAAACCACAAGAACAGTTGACCCTTGAACCCTATGAAAGAGACCATGCTGTTGTTGTTGGTACCTACAGGTATACTTTTAATTCTGTTTTCAACTTTTAATTCAAATGTATATTTTAAATATATATAATTGTTTTTACAGTAAAACGTCCATTTTACGAATGTCTATTTTACGAATAGTCAATTTTATGAATGGTCTTTGCCCCTGATGACGTCATCTCCAATCAATTAATTACCATAAAGTCCGATTGCGCACATTTTACAAAGTGATAATTTATATTTTTCTTGATAAAATCAAGTTTGTTGTATCTATCTATTAATAGTTCGATCTTTTCTTCCATTTTTGGTATAATGATCACTATAATTATGTAATAAACATAACCAGAGCAACGAACTACCAACACAAGTGTTGTTGGATTGAGCGCACATGTTTACGATGATGAACGAGAGTGTTGGGGACATCGTGATATGATATATGATCGCGAAATGCCTGTAAACAATACAATGCGGCAATCTATCAACTAGAAGGAACTTGATATAAAGGTCCATAAAACATACAGATGTTTGAATAAGAGTTAAAATAACATTTTGTTAAGTAGAAGAATACCAGCGATTAAAATAATTTGGTTTTTATCGAAGGTAAATTCAGCTAGGCTCCATGCGCGATAGACCATGCTGCTGCACTGTCGGTTTGTGCTAGGCTGGCCACCGTCAGCCTATCGGCGCTTAATGGCAAGCGATAGCTAGACCTAGGTATTGGAAACTGACACCCGATCTAGTTTACGAATTTTTCAATCTACGAACACCTCTTGGTACCAAGCGGTACGTAAAATGGACGTTTTACTGTATATAAATGTATTTATTATACACTAATTTAATAATATTACATATGTATATTGTATACAATTTTTAATTTAAATATATATGTATGTATACAGTTGATTGATTGAATGAGTAGTCATTGTTAGTACAAGTATTGGACAGTGGCTATGCCGTAGTGGTCAGTCTATTGATTTAGACATGCGCACACGTACGTAAGTATTGCTTCTAATTGAATTTGGTAAGCTAACTTCCAATTATGTTTGTATTTTATAAATTTAAATTTTTTTCTGTCTTTCAGACCACCTCCAAAAAAGAAGTGAAAAATATTTGTAGCACAACTTGCCTGGTCTTTTTATCTACAAATCGAACCGGACTCAACCACTAATTTGTAACATTTATGAAATGATCAATATAATCGCATAAGAATATGTGGCTGTGTTTCTGGTAGCTATTTCGATTAAGTAACTACCTCATTCTTGTGAGGCATCTTGATTACATAGCTACCTGTGTCTCTGGAGCAATTTTGAATTCATACCCAATTGCGGCTCTGGAAGCCATTTTGATTTCAATACTGCATCTGTGAATGTCATTTTTTATTGCTTACCCAAGAAAGATTAACTTCCCATCCCAAAACCGGCGAACTGTTGCTAAATGTTAAAGTAATTAGCATAATAATGTGGTAGTATTGTATATAATACTTTTACTCATAACTTCAGCATTGTAAGTTAATTCCAGTAAATGACCGATCATTTTAAAGCTTTTTAATATGCAGAATAAGAATATATGAATATATTATAAAGTCAGTTTTCTTGTTTTGGTCACTGATACTGGTTTCAGCATGGCTAGCCCCATATATATTAGTTTCCTGCAGAGCATTTTCTGTAGTCACTCCTATGTTTTGAACACAGGTTTTTAGAATTATTAATGCTCTCCACAATACCAACATAAGTAAGTTTTTTACATTTTCTGAAAATTCTTGAGGGACCAGGGGATGTAAATTTAAGCTATATAAATCCAGGGCTGGACTGGATGTCCGAAAATGTTGATTTAGGTCTAAAGTGGTCACATAAGCTATAAAGCTTACCAACCGACTCAAAACATCAAGCAAGTAACACTTCTTGATGTTCAGCAGAATATAAAGTTTTGTATACAGTGAATCAACTGGTACGAAATGAGCATTGATTATATCTAGGACATAATGATTGTAATCGTGAAATTAGTTTATTGTTGTGTTTGACCATAAAAAAAAAAACAAAAAAAAAACACTTAAATTCCTAAACAGGAAAATAATACTGTACTCTATTCGAACAGGAATTCGAAGAGGTTCCCAGGAAACTGAGTTCACAGACAGAGTCTAGCACTAGCTAGAAAATTTCTGATTATGGTACCTCTTGATGGCCGAAAATGGCATACTCTCAGTTTTGAATTTGAATTTTTTTTTTCTCAATTTTAAGAATTTTTATAAAAAAAAATTAGAGGGGAAAAGTTTGGGCTGCACTACCCCACTTTCCCCTGCCAAAAGCACACTGAATGTTTTTGTTCATCTGTAAATTTTACTATTTTATATAAATATTTTTGATTGATTGTTGAAAATACATGCTTGGTTTAAAATGTCATGCAGTACTGAAATTCACATTGCTGGAATTTCGAAATAAAGGCCTAGGCATATTTTTCAAACATTCAATATATAAAAATATATGCATAAAATTAAATGAAAACATCAACCATCTAAAAGTAGAGCATGAATTTCTTAGGTCGTCTTTTGTGGTAGCTAGGTACTGTAGTCTACCATAAACTTCAAAAGATAATTAGGCAGACCAGTCCCGTCTTGAATACGGTATGTGGTTTTCGTTTATTCCAGAATAAATGAGTATCTTGAAGTCATGAGGTCCTTTTAAAAAAAGCTGTATAATTTCATTTTATCCAGTGAATTTTTAGTGTTTCTTTCTATACGTTTTTGTATTGTAATAAAATTGTAACTACCTGTATTAACATTTATTTTTTGTAGGCCTACTTGTATTATTAAAAGTGAAACAAAAATGAAATAAATACTGTAACAATAAAGAAAGTACGTCGGTTCATCATGAATTATACTTCAGTCTGTAAATTATATGTGTTTCCTGTGTTGTATCGGAATGCTGTATAAAGTACCAGAAAGTAAAGCTCCAATTTGCAACTGAAGATAGGAACTTGCAGTTTATTTTTCCCGGTGAATTGCATGACTTAGAGATCGGGTCATGTGATTTAGAATGGTGAGAGCCCGCTATTTTCAATGGACGGCTCACCATGAAGCAACAAAGCTGGAAGGCGATTGGTTGAAATACGTAATAGGTAGGCGGAGCTACTTTGCTTAACAAAGACGCCGATACTTGAGTGGCACTGTTATGGTAACGAAAATACCATAGCGTCAGTCACTCTTCTATGGGAAGTAATTTGCATATATTCGAATAAAGAACAACGCGAACTCTGGCCGCCATTTTTGTGCAATCGACGAAGTTCATGAACCGGGTCCTTCGAATTTATACGAAGTGGATAATAACCATGTTGTTTTCTGATGATATTCCTTTTTGATATATGTGTGTTGTCAACAAAGATATTTAATTGGATAACTTTCTCTGTCATTTTCCTACTCTTTTTGGATTAAACAGTAAGTTTTTGAACTGCAAGTCAACTAATTTCAAGATTCATTTCGCGCGCCATTTGGATGTTGTGATTATCTGAATGACCCGACATTTATACACGTGTGATTTCGGATATTAAAACTGGAAAGGTTTACAAAAGGGAATACATAAATAACATGGAATGATAATATATATGTTGAAGTACGTAAGGTGAGTTATTTTTCATTTATTTTGTCGTGTTTATGGTCTACTTTACAGCAGAGGGCGCCCCGTCGTTCGTAAATTGTTTTGATCGTTTTGTTGAACGAAGTACTCGGTAAAGCTTACCAAAAACAAGTCAAAAATGAATCATTTTCTTATGAACTATGCTTTTGTAAAGTTTCACACACCTCTAGACCTGATACAGATATATCAGAATTTGAAGTTAATTTGATTTTGATTTGTATTTTGAAATTGATTTGCCTGTTTGTACCTTTCATAATCATGATTCATGGCTGTGTTATGGGTATGTTATGGCGGTAGGTTGGGCCTAGCGACCCTTGGCTGTTTACTGTATTCGCGCGTACGGTAGGCCTAGCTAGGTCCTACCTTTGACTCTGCTGCAGCAGAGAGAAAGATTTTGAGGTGTGTGTGAATAATGTCAACTAAACGAAACAACATGTAGCCTTCTTACGCTGCCTATAAAATAAAAAAGTAAGATTAAGAAGATTAAAAGAAGGCTAAACCATAAAAAAATAGGCCTACTGCTGTACTGCCACTGCATTGGCTGGCTAGCTAGCCTAGATTAGCTAAAAACATAAAATTAAAAGAAAGACATAACTAAATGAAGCATTTTAAAACAAAAATTATGTAAATCGGACCAGTATTAGTGGAGATATTAAAATATTAAATATGTTTTTTGCTAGAGTTTATACCTTTTACTTTTATTATACAAGAAACGTGTCCCTTGGCTTACAATATAATTATGTGTTTAAAAGCTTCTTTTTAACTCTGATTATTCGGGTATTGCTAAACCCCGCAAACCTCCAAAAAATCATCTAAATCCTGTGATATTGATTGAATAACATAGTATAGGACTCAATTTGCAATAAAAAAAAAAAAGTCTTCATTTTATGTTCGTCACAATCTATTTTTAGGGTAAAAAGGCCATTTTTTGTATTAAAAAATTTCTAAACCCTGCAAACCTACAAAAACACAGTGCAAAGCCCATCCAAACCCTGTGATAGTGATTGAATCATGTAGTATAGTACTCACTTGGTATCTCTGTAAAAATCATAATTTTATGTTCGTCACAGCCTATTTTTGGGGTAAAAAAAATGGTTTGCGGTGTTTTTTTTTTTAGGTTTGCAGGGTTTAGCTGTGGTATCTGTATTTTTATTTGTATTTTTATGAATAACTTTAGTACTAAATCTTTCCAGAAGAAAATGGGGATAAATAGTTCATAAAGAAGAAATAAAAATGTCACGAATGGTAAAAGTTGATATAATAGTATAATTAGAAAAACTATATTCCGTAATGAGTGGAATGTAATTTTTATATACAAACAAGGATAGGCCTATAATAGGCTGGGCCTCAATACGGCTGAATGGAGTTTGAGAATGGAACAATTATGGGACAGTTTTTAAACATTTTGAATCATTAAGTGATTACAGTAAATTACTTAATTTAGGATTATTGATAAAGAAATACACAATTTATGTTGAGAGAGACCATTTATTCAGCAAATGTATTTCCCCAACCCCCCCCCCCCCAAGGTTTGTGGTGCGGCCTATACACTGGCCATTAACCTACTCCAAAAAAAGTTCAGATCGCGAGCCCCGGCAAAAATCAGGCGCCGTCTGTCTAGGTTAGGCCCGTGCTAGCTCAATTAATTAGCCTAGCTAGGACCGGTTTGTAGCCCTAGTATTTGTAATTATACTCACTACAGTGCTGTACTAGGATTCCTACTACATTTTCTACGACATTCAAGCAATAGTTTTGGTTGCCTATTATTTTCATAAATTATGTTCACTTTTTGAACAATTTTGAAACACGATGTTTCTGTTAGAAACCGCTTCGCTCAAAACAATATTAAACTACTTTTCGGGAGTCCTTGACTCGAGGTCACGTGAGCAGCTTCATTTTCGATGTCACAACAAAACACGTGGGCTGGTGAAACTTGCAGCTCGACGTCTAGTTCCCGGTGGCTTATACCGTAATAGAGAGAATATTACCGCTATAATTTTAGAATATAAACTTGTGAAATTAATTTATGCTATAAAAACATGAGTTTTCTTGAAGTTGTAATAATTATTTTACTGGAATTTAACTGTAGAAAGGCATACGTCATCTGGGCATGTGTGAACTTTGTATCCACGATATTCCTCCAGTTTTCTGTTTTTGTTTATAAAACGTGGTGCGTGATGGTGCATGCTTCGCACAGTGGGCTGTGAGTAGTAGTGATAGGCCTAGAATTACCAATATTTTTAGCCTAATACCGACTGTTATTGGTTAACATAATAAAATAGAATGATTGTTTAAAATAGATAAATATACTCAGTAAGTGTTTTATTTTAATAAACTAAACTGATGTTGAAAATTTAACGTAGCACTACCGTCTAGCAAAAAATGGGGATTTCCCTAGTTCCGGCTGCCTAGAGCAAGAATACGTTGTTAACATGGCGGTAGCCAGCAGTTTACATGCATTTCCAGTTGTTTGTTGTTTAATAATCGGCTGAAAAAGGTGAAATTTCTTTATGTGAACATTTATAAATAATGTCAATGTTTCAAAATAATTAAAAACTTAACATTATGGAAACAGTTTGGAGCTTAAAAATAGGTGCGGCTTATACACAGGTGACACAAAAAATTGTGATATTTCGCGTCCTAATTTGGAGGGGGGCGGCTTATACACAGGTGCGGCTTATACACCGGAATATATGGTAAACCCCGCATACCCCACAAACCTAAAAAAAAAAACACACAGCAAACCCCATCCAAACTCTGTGATAATGATTGAATCACATAGTATAGGACTCAAATTAGTATCTCAATAAAATAAAATCTTAATTTTATGTTGGTCACAACCTATTTTTGTGGTAAAAAGGCAATTTTTTGTATTAAAAAATTGCTAAACCCGCAAACCCCCCCAAAACAGAGTGCAAACCCCATCCAAACCCTGTGAAAGTGATTGAATGATGTAGTATAGGTCTCACTTGGTATATCAGTAAAAAAAAATTATAATGTTCCATTCGTAACAACTTACTTTTTGGGTAAAAATGCCATTCTTTGTATAAAACATTGCTAAACCCCGCAAACCTCCAAAAACACAGTCCAAACCCCATTCAAACCCTGTGATAATGATTGAATCACATAAGTATAGGACTCAATTTGGTATCTCAATAAAAAAAAAATCTTAATTTATGTTCGTCACAACCTATTTTTTGGGTAAAAAGGCCATTTTTTTGTATAAAAAATTGCTAAACCCTGCAAAATCCCCAAAACACAGTGCAAACCCCATCCAAACCCTGTGATAGTGATTGAATCATGTAGTATAGGACTCACTTGGTAAATCAGTAAAAAAAAAATCGTTCCATTCGTAACAACCTTCAGTACAGACACAAATTATCGCTTCGTATCTGCGCGTAACCTCTCGTAATCTGCTTGTAGGTACGTTTTGAACGTAGCTACAAACCACTACGAAAGCTATTGTTATTTTAATTAGCTTTGCAATGATCGTAGGCTGGATCTTCGGGCTGATAAACAATGCGTAAACAATATTGAAATATAGTTTACCAGCTTTCAACACGTGAGCAATGTTGCAATTTACTAATAAACAATGAACTTATACAGTACAAAAAAGTCATTAAAATTCATTAAAAATTGCACTAAGGAACACATACTGTACATAGCATAGCATACACATTATGTAATTACAGTATAGTTTTGTTCATTTTGACTGATTAAAACTAGGTCATGGGTCTTCATAAACAATTGTTTTGTTTACTGAAATCCAATGCCTTCGTTGAACATCTGTTTGAATGGGAGCTTACCTTCAAATATGGTAAATAACATTGAAATAAAATTCACTACATTTAAATGGTATTGTAATTTCTTGTTTACAATTTAAAATACTAGTACTGTACGGCCAACTTAATGCTTTCCATAAAAACATGTTTCTTACTGTATCAATATTCTTTAACACATGTCTTGTGTTTTTCTTTTTCTTTCCATAATTAATAACTATACATTTCCTTTTTTATTTTAGCAAATTTGTGTTATTATTGTTATAATTTCCAAGCTCTCATTTTAATACATCATTTGATTAATATTAAAATAAATTTTGCTGAATATTTTGGAGAGATGAGAAGATCCCTATTGTTGCTATAATTTTCTCAGAACTTGGATAGAGAGATGAGATGATCCCTATTGATTTGCCTGCATAGACAGACAGGAAAGTAACCTTTGACCTATTAGACCAGACAAAATGATATGCGGAGGGATAGACTAATGTGGCTAACCTCGTCTGCATTATAATAATGCTGCCAGAAGCAAACGCGCATCAAAATCAAGTCCCGTATTCAAGAGGTAGAAAGTCAATTGCGTTCCAATTGCAAATTTTCCATTACAAGCATTCAATATTGTATTTGTAACCTGTTTAGTAAAAAAAAATGAACTGAACAACTTTCTTTCCCACAAAATGATGCCTTGAATAATTTGGCGATACTGTAATTAAAGTCTTCCGATGGCTTATTGTAGTTAAATGCATTATAATACTGGGGAAAATGTACGTTCCCCCTGGTGATATACTTAATAGATGACACATTCTAAATGCAGTAGTACAGTAGGTCTATTGTAATAATAATGTACTAATTGTTGGCTAAAAATTATAATTATATTACAACACTTTAAAGCTTTTGCATCCTTGTTTGTACTTGCTGTTAAATGTTAGCCTACTTTACTGACAAAAAATACTAATAATAATATTAATAATAATATAATAATAATAAGTTTATTGAGCTGCTGTTGTATCTAGATGTAGCAATTTGTATTCTTCATTAACTTTATATTCAGATTTTCATATCTTGATATATTATTTTTAATACTGTGATTTATTTGTAAGAAGTATCTTTGTCAATGAGCAAGGATTTGTTTTCAATGATAATTATATAACATTTAAATTGTCTATTTTTAAACCCCAAAACTGAACTAGGTAATGGTTCCTTTATAAT